AAGCTCTTTTTGTGACATCAAAAGTTTCGCGTTTAATTGTTGTTGAGTCGGAGGAAGAGAAGCGAAATGGCTGGAGGATTGATTGTGGCTATTAATTATTGGGAGTTGTAGACGGAGAAGATAAGTAATAAAAGGGGGTAAATTTAATTTGTCATTTTCGATCGGTCCAACCGTGATTCGATCGCATTTAACAGAATTTTATCTGAAATTTTAACAAAGGATAAGCATGTTTAATAATACGTATAGTATGAGGGCATGTTTGTTGTGAAAAATAGGAGAGAGATAGATTTGATAAAAATGAATAGTACAGTAACAATTTATGTCATCAACTCTATATGAAAAGTCAAAGATTGTATTGATAGAGTAAAATTTAGGATTTTATAACGGTTGAATTTTCTTAAATATTCTATGTGAACTAGTATCTAATACTTAACATCCCCACTTATTATTCAAACAAGTCTATACAGTAAATTATAATAATTTATACAATAAACATTATTTTTTTCATGTTCTTCCATATTTGAGATTTCTAGGCATAACTTTTCGTTATTCTCTTAATTTCTTTTATATACCTTCTGCCAAAAAATTATTCTTCATATTTTTAGGGGTTAATTGCATGGTTGGTCACTGAAATTACAAAAAACGTTCATGTTTGGTCACTAAAAATATTTAAATCCAATCTTGGTCACTCAAATTAGTTAAATGGTTCAAGTTTGGTCACTCTCCGTCCATTTCCGTTAACTCTAGCTTACGTGGCAGTCAACTTTTATAGTTGACCGTTAAATATGTGACGTGGCAACTAAACAATTATTAAAAATAAAAAAATAAACTTTTATATATTCCACCTTTTTATTCATTAAAAATAAAATAAAAAATAAAAAACCTAATTTCTTTTCTACACACCCCCATACCTTATCCGACCCAACCTCACCACCACCGGAACACAGCCTCACCAAATTCTCGTTGAAGAATTGCTCCGCCGCCAGCGGCCACGTCACCATCGGAACTCCAGCAACAATCGCTTCCACGACAGAGTTCCAGCCGCAGTGGGTAACGAATTCACCCACCTCCGCGTGTCCTAAAATCAGCAGTTGAGGCGCCCACCCTTCAATTACCAATCCTTGCCCTTCGACTCTCTCCTCAAATCTCTCCGGCAGATCTTCCCTTCTCTTCACAACCCAAACAAACCCCTGTCCCGAGCCTTCCAGCCTGCCGCCAGCTCTGAATTCTACGCTACCGTGAATTCTGCATTAGAGCCGAAACATAGGTAAATTACCAAATTGGGTTTCTTCGAATCCAGCCATTTCAAGCATGTAGCAGCTTCCGTCACTGTCACCATCCCTCTGCTCTCTTTCTCTTCGCGCCGCTGGCGAAAAGAAATTGAAGAGATAGACGGCAGAATTCCATTAATGAACCACGGAAAAACCACAAATAGACACGCTCGCGAACATCCGACAGAAACCCTAGCAGTAAACAATTCATCCTGAAATTGCATCAGGAACTCACCTCTAAATGAGCAACCAGCTTAAGAAAGCGAACTGGGTAAGGATGAAAACTAAAAAAAAGCCAAGTGTAGAGACCGAGTGAGCGGAATTCAATGGGGGTGCTAGGGTTTTGCTCCACTGTGCAACATTCTTGAGCAAACGAGAAGGAATAGAGAAGGAGAGAGAATTCAAAAAGATGAGGAGTTGGCAGGTATTGGAGGTAGGAAGGAGAAGATAGGAAAAAAGCAAAGGAAATTTAGGTTTTTTATTTTTTATTTTGTTTTTTAATGAATGTAATAATGAGGTGGGATATATAAAGTTTATTTTTTTATTTTTCATAATTGTTTAGTTGCCACGTCACATATTTAACGGTCAACTATAAAAGTTGACTGCCACGTAAGCTAGAGTTAACGGAAATGGACGGAGAGTGACCAAGATTGAACCATTTAACTAATTTGAGTGACCAAGATTGGATTTAAATATTTCTAGTGACCAAACATGAACGTTTTTTGTAATCTCAGTGACCAACCATGCAATTAACCCTATTTTTAGGTTATATAATGAGTGCCCATCACATAATACTCTCCCTACTCCTTCAATTCCTACCAAATCTAAATTACATATATTTCTTTCTAACTCCAAATTCATATAGCAATAAGAACTTAAAAAAAAATTCTAAGATATGGCTATCCCGTTATGAAACTCCCATTTGTCGTTGCATTATAGTAATATTTTCTTCTTTTGATCTCAGGATTATACATATATGATTGTAGGAGCAGTGGAGGATGTAAGCTATTCACGGTGCAGTGAGACAAGCTGCTATGTGGTTCACTTTATACTACAGGATCCATCGACAATTGTGGAAGCCATTTTCACTTCTTCTGACCTTATAAGAATCATTTCAGATGTTGTCGGTCATGAAGAAGTGACTGCCACGAACAACTATGTGGAGTTGCTGACTTCTATTCCTGGAAATCACTATCGCTCTGTTTGGCAATAAAGGGATGCAAATTGCAGAGGGTGCAAGTTGAGAGGTAAATTGCTGGGGGTGCAAATTGCTGGGGTTGTAAGTGGAGGGGTAAATTGTTGTTTGGATGAAAAAGTAGGGGGTGCAAATAGAGCGAAAAGTAAGTAATTATATTATTTTAAAGTAGATTTTAAAATTTTAAAATAGATTTTAAGATTATAAAATAGATTTTAAGATTTTAAAATATTATCATAAAATAATAAAATAAATATTACTATATAATAATAAATATACTTTACTAAAAATAGTTATTATATAATAATGCTCAAATAATAATTAATTATAACAATTGTAATAATCATTGATCGAGCGATCTCAAAACTCGAAGCTCAACTCGTAACTGGTCATCCTATATAGGGTTTTCGTGTCTAATTTATTCTTAAATTGTCAAACTTAGTCAAACACGTTCGAATTTGTAAGTTTTAACTATTTAGTCAAATAAACTGAGTTAACCAAACAATTTCTCTCTATCTTTTCCACAAACACCTCGTATCTCTAATTTTCAATGCAAATTCGATTCAACCAAGATATCTAGATTTGACTTGACGAACATTGATAAACTTGTTTCCAGAGTCAAATGGTCAACCCCGAATAATGTTTACATTAATGATATTTATAAAAAGAAGAAATTGATAATATTAATTATTATATAATTATTATATAACACAATTAGAAAAATAAAATTCCATAACTCCCCCCTCCACCTCTCTTCCTTCCTTCCCTTGCACCCCAATTCGGGGGGTAAGCCGAAACAGTAAATTTGTACTCCCGTTTTGCACCCCCTACTGTTCCAAATTAACCAAACAGGTGCAAATATGTTGGACACTGTGTTTACCCCTCACATTTGTGTGCTTTGTTTGCGACAGAATTAACATAATTTCTGTTGGCTGCTTTCTGCGAACATACTTAAAGACATGTTTGTTTGGTGTTTTCTTTTTTATTTATTTATGTATATCGGCTGTCATGATTTTTCTTTGCCACCAAATTATGATGTCAATATTTTTCTCAAGATGACATCTTAGATTCAATGTGAGGTAATTAGTAACATCAGAATATTTACGCAGTACCCTACACTGAATTTTCCAGAGTATACATTAGGATTTTGAGTTAATCAGTTCATACTTCATAGCATTGTTTCCGCCTTCTTTATAATAAAATTTATTTTGTAAGTGTTTCAATTCTAATCTTTATTATTCTATAGGTGGATTTGCTATAATCATTTCGTACTGTTAATCTAAATTAAAATACTATGTGTAATAAATAAAATTTATTAGTTGAAAAGTGTTTTTCGGAAAACAAGTAATTGAAGTATTTGTATAATTTTGCGAAAGAATACGGGTAATTAGCATAAATGGTAACAAACCTTTGCACTTAGTACAAAATGGTCACAAACCTTTAATTTGTAACAATACGGTAACAAAACTTTGAAATTATATAAAATGGTCACCGCTATTTAATTTGTGACCGTTTTGTTTTAAATGCAAAGGTTTGTTACCGAATCGTTACAAATTAAATGTTTGTCATGTTTTGAGGTAGGGTAGTTTGTTCGTTAAGTATATGACAGTAACCACTTGAACGACATATAAGATGTCAGGTCATGTGTTCATCGACATATTTGCTTTGCCGAATAAGAATGCTCTCAATTGACCTTTCAATTTCGATACCAAGAAAGTAAGAAAGTAGACAGAGTTTTTTCAACTAAAAAGCAGTCTGGAACCCGTTTGTGAGCCATTGAGTTCTTTCATTGTCATCCTTTATGACGATCATATCATTCACATACATTAACAAAACCACCATACAACTAGAGCGAATTGTAATGGTGATTGATCATTCAAACTTTTGAACTTAATTTGTATAAAACGGTCACCAAAAGTCTAATTTGCAACGACACGGTAACAAAAGTTCGAACTGGTATGAAATGGTCACACTGTTTAATTTGTGACCGTTTTGTTCTAAGTAAAAATTTTTGTTATCAAATAGTTACAAATTAAAGGTTTGTGACTGTTTTGTACTAAGTGCAAAGGTTTGTGACCATTTATGCTAATTACCCGAAAGAATACCTTATTTGAGGACAAAGTACAAAAGGCATTATCTGCTTTCTTTACAAAGTTGTTATTGTCAAGTGCAATGATTACTTGCTCTCACGTTCAATTAGGATAATCATGGATCAAAATTGTAGAATACATTGACTAATTATATATCATTTACCGGCTAAATTATACGTTTGGTCACTCAAATTATACAAATATTTCACGTTTGCCACCCGAATTACTTTTCTTTCTTATTCGCCACTAACTTTACGAATCGTTTCACGGTTGGTCACCGGCCGTTACACTCCGTTAAGTTTGTCCTACGTGGCAGTCAACTATAAAGTTTGACCGTTAAGTAGATGACGTGGAAATTAAAAAAATTAAAAAAAATTAAATTTTCTTTCCACCTCATCATTACACTTATTTTGTCTATATAATTTATCATATTAATAATTTAATAAATTACAAAAATGGGCAAATCCAAAGGCTCATCTTCTTCACTAGCCAGTAGCCACATCATCGTCCCCTCCTCCACCCACAAGCTGCTCAGTGCTCACTGCTTCGAGCTTTCGCCTCTCCTCTTCTCCAAACACAGATGGCGCAAGTACTGACCAACGCTTTCCTCCAAATCAAACCCATCTCTCCTCCGCTGCTCTCCGCGTCTAAGGTACCGCCCGAATTCGCACTCCGACTTACTTACTTCTTCTCTGCGGCGTTCCATTTTGGAGGAATTTTCATTCAATGCTTCCCGAAATTTACAGGCGAAGGCTGTGGCCGGAAGGAATGGCGGCGGATGCGGAGGTCTGCAGGTAACGTGCCGGAAGAAGGAGATACACCCGGAGTTCCACACGGACTCCAAAGTGTACTGTAACGGGGAGCTGGTGATGACCGCCGGCGGGACACAAGAGGAGTACAACATTGACGTTTGGTCCGGCAACCACCCGTTCTACCTGGGGAACCGCTCCGGCGTGCTTGTGGACGCGGACTAGGTCGAGAAGTTCCGGAAGAAGTTCGGTGAGCTGACGCAGCTTATGCAGATCCCTGTGCTCAAGGGCGAGATTGTTTTGCCCAGCAGGAAGAAATCCGGAAAGGGCAAGAAAAAGTAGAAAGAACAGTGAACAACTCACAGCTTGTGTATGGAGGTAAAATGGGTTTCAGATTGGTGTAATTGGGTCTCTGTTAAGTTTGAGAATTGTGAAGTACACTTACCCCCGATGAGAAATTGCAGATAACGTGTTCGATAATTACTGAGCAGATTGTTTCCTTCATTATTTTTGTAATTTATTAAATTTTATTAAATTATTAATATGATAAATTATATAGACAAAATAAGTGCAATGATGAGGTGGAAAGAAAATTTTATTTTTTTTAATTTTTTTTTTAATTTCCACATCAACTAGTTAACGGTCAAACTTTATAGTTGACTGCCACGTAGGACAAACTTAACGGAGTGTAACGGCCGGTGACCAACCGTGAAACGATTCGTAAAGTTAGTGGCGAATAAGAAAGAAAAGTAATTCGGGTGGCAAACGTGAAAGATTTGTATAATTTGAGTGACCAAACGTGTAATTTAGCCATCATTTACCAATTCAATTTGTTGACGAATCTAGACCATGAAAAACATTCAATTTCTTCTAAATAGAACATTCAGTAGGTAAAGGCACAACCCAAATGTGCATCCTATAAGATACATACACAATCTGTTCACCAAATTTTTTATATATTACTGATTGAAAATAATTTGAAACAGCAGCAGAGCATTTGGGATGTTGCTCCTAGTTCTGCAGGGATGTGGATATGGAGAAGAATTCTGAAGTGCAGAAACTTGGCTGCACAGTTTATTTCAGGAGTGGCACCAGATGTTCTGTGGAAGGGTGAAAAAATGGAGAGGTACTATGTTTCTAGAGTGTTGCAGGATATTAGGCAGCAGGATCCTGAGTTGCCTTGGACAAGACTAATCTGGGGAAAAGAGATAATACCACGACATGGATATATAGTATGGCTTGCTATGCAGGATAGGTTGACAACTCAAGACAAGCTGTTAAGATGGGGGAAATTGGTGTCTGGACTTTGTTTATTATGTCCAGGTGGGATAGAAAGTAGAATTCATTTGTTGAGGCAATGTTCGTATACAGATTTTGTGCTGAAGAAGTGTTTAAGAATGTATTCTCCGCCTCCTTTTGTGCAGTGGGATCAGATGGTTGATTGGTGTATGCAGAATTGGGGTGGTGGAAACTCTGCTAAATCGAAAGTGTGTAGGCTGATTTGGTGTGTTGTGCTCAGCTGGGTATGGCGTGAACGCTGATCACGCTTGTATGGAGATAGGTTTGCTCGATCACCATTAGAGATGTGTGGTGTTGTGCGTGGAGAAGTTACATGTAGGGTGAATGGAGATTCGGAATGCCAGAAAATTCTTGACTTCATTGATGCTATAGATAGTTAAAAGTTTACTTACTTATGGTTATAGAAGCTATACAGCTTTTTTGTATTTTTTGTATTAGACAGTATTTTGAGAGGCGTTTTTAACCTGAGTTTAATGAAATTTTAGATTTCCATCTAAAAAAAATAATTTGAAACAATCCAGCCAATGGACCGAATATAAACTAGTTACGTAATCATATAGAATATATGCTGTGAACTCACTGGATCCATCCAACCACCCTTTCTCCTCAATCACCCAACTCACCTACATCTACATCAAATGCTTGAATGGGTGTGGACCATTTTCTATTTATCCACGTACTAGGTGGTACTAAATCGTCAAACCCACATAAAACCACGTGCTCACCCCTACCAACTGCGAAATAATCACAAAATTGGCAATTCACACAAGGTCAAAAACACCCCAATTCACACAAGGTCAAAAACACTAATATTCAGACCAAAAAACACCAATATTGTTCATGTTGGCTTAGCTGCTGCTAACTTCAATCGGCATTACTATATCCTCCAGCCAAGCTTTGTGGGCATCAATTCTTCAACATTACTCGCCATTCGAAAGCTGATCTCCCACCCGATTCATATCCCTCTCGAACTGGTTTTACGGCTCAAGTCAAGAAGACCAGCACAAACAGGATAATGAACAGAATTATCAAAAACAATATCATCATCAGTTGGCCCTTAGCACTAGCCTTCTTCATGACCATTGCAACTTTTTTCTGCAGACAAGAGGAAGGTTACTTCTAATTTGTCGACAGTTTTAAGTGTAGCAATTTATTACTAGAGAAAAATAATCTGAAATCACCTGAACAAAATCGAGCCTGTTAGTTGTGCTGTCCATTTCGTTGCCTAGATCATCAATAATCTTTTCCTGAGCCACCAAAAGTTTCAGATCAGCAGTCAACAAAGATCAAAGTTCAGGCAACAGATCCATATTCAACATTCTTTAATCACAAAAAAAAAAAAAAAAAATACTGGTTGCAAACTTGCAATATGGAACTATGGATTAATACAGTAGCCAGGAAGCTGGAAATTACTAACCTGTGCGAGAAGTTCTTCGTGGATGGTAAGCCCAACACCGCCAATTCTCTCAACGCTAGCACTCAGTTCATCCAGCTCTTCGTCTTGTTGCCTACAAACAACAATTACATCAACAACATGAAGTACGAAAAAATATGTATCTTCTTTCTCGTTCGGATGTGAAACAAGGGAAAACAATCTAGGCAAAATGCTTCGTATGGGTTTGAGGTATTTCAAGCACCCACATAATACTCCTACTCAAAATGATATCATTCAGAGGCAACCTTTATGGTAAGATGTAGAAAGAATAGCGTCACTCAGAAATCCTCAAATCTAACGAATAACTAGCTTTGTACAAGAATGTTACATAAATAATTTGAAAGCAAAGGAAAAGAACTCTATACTTAATAAGAAGCAACTGTCTATCTGATTCAGATTGTATGAAATCATCATTATCGTCAATGTACTGGTTGGATCCAGCTGTATGTTGAGAATTTTGCAGCCTCATCAACTCTCTGCGCATCCCATTTAATCTTGTTGCTCCCCCATCATTTGCCGCCCTTCCAGCAACCACTGACCTCTTCACATTACCTACCTAATAGGGATTGAAAGGATATTTAAGTAATCATAACCGAGAAATAAAATATCAAGACCTTGTTAGTCAAACTCATGTGTACTTGCAATTTCAACAATCACACAGATCCAAAATATGGAATATCTAGCAATCAACATACCTCCGCCATTGAAAATACCATAAACTTTTCAAACAATGTTTCAGAGTAACGTACCTGAGTGCGAGCACTGCTAGTCCATCTTCTTCTACTCTCAAGTTCCACTTGATCAATGCCATACAAAGAAGGATCTCGAGCTGCAACAGAAATTGCTTTGTCCAATTCATCCACCTTCCTACCAAAGAGAAGTGATTCAACATATGTAGAAAGGGATTACCTTGTTCAATAAATAAATGACAATGTTCGATCTCCACAGACCGGTTAGCTTGAACTTCAAAATAACACAAAATTAAGACTTGTTGGCTGAGTCATTAGAAAACCATTGAGATGTGTCGGTATTTTGTTGTACATCAGCAATAAGCATTCCCACAGGAAACAAATCTAGCCATAAGAAAATCTTACTAGACAATCTTTCTGACACAAGTCTGACAGAGCTTTCAGTATCCTAACTCAAAAGAACATCTTAGAGGTGGATCACTGAAGTTTCGAAACGGCATAAACTCTTAGTACCTGCCACTCGATGCTCTCACTATTGGCGAGAAGCTCCTTTGTGAGGTTCGCTTGCTCTCCGGTATTAGAAGAAAGCCGTTCCCATTGTTGAAATGTTGATAGCAACTTATCAATCTAGCAGAGAAAAAAACAAAGATTGTGAGTACCCTACATTTGGGAAGTCCAAAGTCCATGAAATAGATACAATTATGAACTCAGAGACACTACGATGTGATAGGCAAACCGCTAATGCAGAACGTTTTATGCACGAAAAACCCATAGAAGGAGAAAAAAGACATTAACAATTGGACAATGATATCCAAACTTACAGAGTCCTGAATCTCCTCTTTCACGATATAAAAAGGATCTTGAGCAGAAGACATGTTTCACGAGCAACTGTATATTATCCTATCCATTACAAAAAGAAACCGCAATCAGCACAATAAACCCCCAAGTCCATATGAGAGGCCACTGGAGTTTCTTGCTAGCATCATAATTCATAACCACAAAAGCAAATAAAGGCCGCCGCCCCTTGGACTAGTCCATTACCACAATTCACAAATCGAAGGTCCGAGTTCAAATGCATTGAAATTGAGGGAGAAAAGAAATACCTAGGATTGTGAAGAACGCCGTTCGATGCGGGATTTATCCCGCTGTTGAACGAGAAGTGAACGGATATTAGAGAAAGACAACGGTGCACAAGGGAGAAAGACTCCGAGCTCTTTGGCTTCTTCTTTTTCCAGATCTATTTCCTGTCCTGCTTATCTGCTTCAATGACCACCGGAAGAGGTGCGGAGCTACGGTGGAAACAATAGATCCCCTTCGACGGTTCCTACCTCGCTTTCGTTTTCTCTACGTCGAAACTTCTCGAGCTCTAACTTTCGCTTTAGCTGACAAAAAAATATAGAAAGAGAAATATAAAGCCTCCTGCATTAGGAAGGATATTTTGGTGTTCACAATTACCTTTTTTTATTCATTAAAAATACACTTACTAGAATTCGAACCATGCCCACTTTAAAGAAAAGCAAAAATCATAACCAATCACACTAAATAGATTTGTTGTATTTTTTTTAAATTAAAAACTTATATACGCAGAGAGGAAAAAACTCTTCCCCCATTTCAAATTCCCTGCTCCAGAAGCGTTTGTAGGAAGGGTAGAATAGGGAGTGTCAATTTTTTTCTTTTTCCTCGGCCAACTTACCGTACACATGCGGATTTAAACGGGTCCAGGAGTGTCAATTTCTATCTTTAAGTCCTTTCATTTCTCCGTGGTGGTAAAATATATATGAAAAGGCAAAAACAATACTCCTTTTTATTGTTAAAAAGAAAAAAAAATTAACAATAAACTAATGCATGGATTCTAATGGGCTAACCGCTAATCATAAAATAAAAGAGTTGAATGGGTCTGACCTACACGGAATTTGCTCATCAAGTAAAACAAATGAACATCATGGGTTTGCCATTCTAAAACAAGCTATTTTCTCTAGCATTTTCTAGGAATACAGGAACGGTGGTTCCTATCCCAAATCGTGTTGTTCATTCTTGATTTTTTTTAGTTTTTATCATGGCTTGGCAAAAAACCAGAAAGCACAATGATGACAAGATGAAAGGTTTATAAAGCAAATTAATCGGCCAATGGGCCGAGTAAAAGCTAGCAACGATTGTGAGAAGCTCATTTCCCGAAAACCGGCGGGATAGGCAATTTTTTATTCGATTTTCTGGAATTCGGTTTCCATAAAACTTACTCCATCTCATCATATTACCAGAAACAACATTTTTTCACAAGGTAACAGGTACTTGATTTTGGTTCATAAGGCTGATTTTTGAATCGTTACATCATTTTTTCACATGTGAGTCTGCGTGTACCACCATTTTCTAGAGATACAGGAACGATGGCTCCTATCCCAAATCGTGTTGTTCATTCTTGATTTTTTTTAGATTTTATCATGACTTGGCAAAAAAACTAGAAAGCACAATGATGACAAGATGAAAGGTTTATAAAGCAAATTAATCGGCCAACGGGCAGAATAAAAGCTAGCAACGATTGTGAGAAGCTCATTTCCCGAAAACCGGCGGGATAGACAATTTTTTATTCGATTTTCTGGAATTCGGTTTCTATAAAACTTACTCCATCTCATCATATTACCAGAAACAACATTTTTCACAAGGTAACAGGTACTTGATTTTGGTTCATAAGGCTGATTTTTTATTCGTTACATCATTCATGTCTCTTTCCTACTAAAATTCACTATTTTTATCACGTATTTCCCAAAAAAAAAACTATACAACAATAAGCTATACAACTCATTACATTATCAAATTTCATACCTCACCTTCCTCCGGCCAAATAGTCGGGGCCTACGCTAGTAAGATTTAACGGCAGAACATTACAAAATGGGTTGAGATCACGTGACTAAGGGGTTCCAAACTTCCAATCACAATTTAGCACATCTAAATGAATATCTGGAATTTTTATTAATTAGGGGTACGATAGTCACTTTCTTTTTTCAATTTAATTAGCATTTATCTTCTACAAATTTAGAAGCGGAGGCATCACCGCCGGCGATTTGGCCACTGATAATTAGTCTGGTCACCGCTACCGCCGTGCGAGAGAGATGGACTAGCTTGGATGACGGAAACCGCTATAGCAGCGTCGGAGTAGAGAAGTAAAGAAGACTGCAACAGTGAGGAATATAGAGGAGAGAGATACGACAACGACGACAATAGATCTTGCGCGGTCAAATAGAGGGATGCAACGGTGATGGCAGAGAGAGATACAACAATTGCGGCGACAGATCCGCTCCTCCCGCCGGAAAAGCCCAATCGATATTCATTATGTTTGGCCCGGCTTTTAGAAGTGATTTTCAGCTTCAAAAGTTGAAATAGGACCAAACACCTTTAAAAGTTCGACTTTTGAAAAGCCGAAAAGCGCTTTTGTATAACATAAAAGTAGAAGCTCCAAATCGGAGCTTCTGCGAAAAGCTGTTTTAAAAATACAATATTATCCTTATCATATTTTAATTTTATTCAGAAAATATAATTTTCCTTCATTTATAACATTTTAAAAATAAAATAAATTATAAAATTATATTATTTAATATAAAGGAAATCTAACAAGATCTATTTTGACTACTTTTATTGTTTAGAATTTTTATTCATATTTTATATTAGGGGTGGCTATACGGTCCGGTCCGGTGAAATTGTACCAAATTGATCTGGTCCCAGTCCGGTCTTTTCGGGAATATAAGGACCAAAGATTGGATTGGATACACTCCGGTCTTGACCCGGTCCTGTCCCAATTTGATTTTGATTTTAGATTGAGCTTGTGGGGATTTGAGTGTTGGGGTCTCTTATCCGGTCTTTATCCGGGTTTTTTTACCTCAAATCTAAGCCTGAATATGATATTGGATTGTTTGCTATCTGGTCCTAGTCCGGTCCCGGTCCGAGTTATACGGTTCGGTTTCGGGTAAAACCAAACAGTCCTGAACCAAATTGCCAGCCCTATTTTATATTATAAGTCTTTTATAGTCATGTTACACAAGCGTTCATATTAAAAAAACACTTCTAATAGTTTTACAGCCAAACACTAAACTGTTTTTTTTTAAAGCACTTAATCTAAAAGTTCCAGTCGGAAGCTACTTCTGCAAAAGTTACCGCAGGGCCAAACTAAGCTATTAATGAGGAAGAAAGAGGGTTTTAGGCGGCAGATGGTTTGGGAAGAAAAAAAATTAGAGAGGGAAGGAATATAGGCAAGTTTGAGACGGAGAATCGGAAAATTGATTATTGTTTGTTAGTTCATTATTTGGGAACGGATCAGGTCAGTAATCTTATGGTGAGTAAACATGAGGGACAAAATTTGGCAGCAAGCTGGGTTGCCGCCCGCAGCAGCCAACCCACGTGGAGTCTTTTGACTGGCTCAAAATTTATTCTTTTCGATTTTTTTAATGGCTAACCTAAATTGCTTGATTGGAAGGGACGGAACGGAACGTACATGCAGTTTCCGTTATTATCATTCTGCTTCTCCACTTTAATGAGCACATATATATCAAATAATAGAGTTTGGGATGCTTTACGAACATAATTGTAAATAAATTGAGTCTAGCATAAATAAATTATTCAAAAGTAATGGTACCAATCAAAACATAATCTGTGTACTTCTTCCCATTAATGACAAAAATATTTCTAAGAAAATAGTTTTTGAAATGCATTAATCTTACTAAGATACTTAAGAAAAAAATAAATGTTGTCACTCTTCTACACCGTGTAGATCAGAATTTGTCATGGCATCCTGCAAATTTAACAAAGACCATAATTATATTAGATTCTAAATTTTCTAAAAGAAGTTATCAAAATAAACAATAATTGGATCATCTTCATATGTGTAACAATTGTGTGAATGATATATTGCTTAGAGAAATAGCAGAATCAATGTTTTCTCCGACTGGATTGATAATTGAATTCTGTGATTGGTGCCCAATCACCATATGAAATTATAATAATTGTTACAATGATTGATAAGATACTCTCACTTAGCTTTTGATAAAACATAAAACAAAATACTAGCATTCTAATTTAGATGACAAAATATGCAAAGCAAAACCTGATTATTTTGTTCTAGCACTTCAGTACTACTTCCACCTTGTTGAGAAGAACTAGCTTTGAGCTTCTTACCCTTTAATATAATAAGATTTTAAAATTGAATAATATAAGAAGATAGTATAATAGTTTTATCTTATAAAACATACACAAAGGAGAAAAAAGAACATGTAATTTTGATTGAACCTTGTGACTTTTTTCTCGCTCTAATGCACCTTTCATTCTTCCTTTAGGTCGTCCAATCGTGGCTTTTGACTTTACTCCAACTACATTTGGATAATCTTGTTCATGATTAGAGCATAATACCTCTTCAGAAGTTCCAGCATGTGAATTTTTTTTCATTTCCTGCAAATTCTTCAGCAAATTTGAAAAAACTTCACTTGCGTGCTCATACATTCTGTCGCTCTCAGCTGCCAGTGTGGATATCTTCAAAAATTATAATGCATATCAAAGTAACGCTACCCAATGAGTTTCTCAGAACTTCCCTGCACTCGACTTGAACTGCTGATATATCCATCTTTCGCATCCTTTGTCCATCTTTTTTATATATATTGCCTTGGGATTTGCTTTATCTTTTTCTTGTCAAGAGCTTTTAGGTCATGAGAACACAAAATACCCACAAACTCAAACTTCATGCAACTACATTCAACTCTTTGAAGCGAAGACTCAAATTGGACACGATGTCCTGCACCTCTACCCGCATATCTCACTTGATATTCTGCTTTACCTTCAGATTTGCTGATCTTTACAATCATACAATCCCAAGCTTTGAGATATTCTTCTTCAAACATTTTAAACACTTTAGGAGTGTACACCTCTGATGCGTGTGACACGCCAAAACACAACACCAAACAATGGCCAAGTGTAACCAATGAAAGGGACAGCAGTATAGTGGCACAAGTAATAAATATCGAATCCACGGGTCTCTAGAGTTACTATTACTCAGCTTCAGTTCATTATCTAGCAAACTAGATTAAGGATTGATTAACTAAACTACTCTACTAACTAAACTAAGTAAAACTACTAATTACAGTTTGGGAACTCACTTAGGTATGATTCCCCCTAGCTCCTCAATTAGGTCCAAGTTGTAATTCCTTTTGGTTGATTTACTGTTGATTAAACTGCGGAAGATCCGACAGTAGCTTGGAATCTCTTAAGCTGACCAAGCCCTCTCAGTCTAACTATCCGGCAGACGACTAGTCTTCACCGGGATAGAAAGCTGAAGCAATAAGCACAGAACTCCACTACTGGAATTGGATTCCAGTACAAAGCAGTGAATTGATTGACTCTCGCACAACCAATTCACCACTATCAATCAAGGAAGCTCTCTTAACCTAATCAGATTCTATCTATCATAGGTTAAAGCAGAAATCAAGAGAATTTGATCAAGATCCAATTGACTCAATAAATCATGCCTCAATCGATTATAATCAAACAATAAAGCATCCAAAACTTCATACAAGAAAGATCCTAACTCATGGAACTAGGGTTCCTCAAAACCTAAGTGAAGGGAAGTTACTCCATAGAGAAGAGAGAGACTGCAGAAATCTGATCTAGATCTTCAATCTCCATCTCCAAGCTTGATTCCCGAGCTCCAATGGCGAAGAAATCCTCCAAAATAGCTCCAAGAATGTTTCCAAGTCGCTCTCTCTCTCTAGGGTTCGTCCCTTGGGTGTTTGGGATCCAAAACCCAGCTCTCTCTCCTCTTTTGTTCGGAATTTGGCTTAAAACCAGGAAATCCCGACTCGCACGGCCAGGGTGCACGGCCGTGCATATCACCATTCTGGCCGTGCAACTCAAAACGCAGCGTGTCATTTAGTCGAAATTCAGCCCTCTCGCACGGCCAGGGTGCACGGCCGTGCATATCACCATTCTGGCCGTGCAACTCGCTCAGCCTCTGTTTAATGCTTCGTTTCTCCCTCGTCCGGACTCCGAATCAATCGCCGTTTGATCCCAGACGCTCGTAGTCTCGTCCTCTTTCGTTTCATAACAAGCTTGCATGCTTCTTTGTCCATAAAGTGAGGTAGAAATCCATTCTTCTTCAGGTCATGCCCTAGTTTCCTCTCTCGAATCGTCAATTGATCTCTGATTGACTTGAAACTTGCGCCTATGCTTCACTTTATGTGCTAGGACCTGAAATGGGACAAAGGAACACAACCTAGCATAAAATAGGCCACAGCACACGAATATGCCCCTCAAACGGATAAGAACTAGGGGCGCAAACATGTGCAATTACATCGTTATCAAACTCCCCCACACTTAACCGTTTGCTTGTCCCCAAGCAAACCTAACTCAAACCAATGCAACTCTCCAGACCTCTATAGCAACAAACAACCTAGATCGTAGGTAGAGGACTTCCTAGATCATTTAGCAGCTTACGAGGTCAACCGACGCACAAGTCATCTCATAGCTTCTTCGGTCAGTCGGCATCATGGAAAACAGTGAACAGAGGACAAATGAATTGTGGATGAAGAGATTCTCAAAAACAAAAGATCATGGACTCACATTTTTCAAGGTGCTCGATTTTCTTTGAAGATGGTTGGAACCCCTTTTTTCTGTTTTGCTTGTTTTCTGTTATTTTTATTTTCTTTTTTTCTTTTCAAGGGTCCCAACCTGCTTTTACCGGCCATGCCAGGAGCGGATGTCTCGAGCCTCGTGTGGGGGAAAGACATGTAAGGGGGCTGGAGGTAGTAGGTGGAAATTGGGAACGGATTCCCGTCTCCCCTTACACACTTTCGCCCTATTCGCACGGGAGACGTTTATTTTGAAGCACATTTTCGAGCACCTGTTATTTTCAAAACATGATACAAGAGTCCATGACAGGTAGAAAATCCACAACACCACACAATTCAAGGGTCCTAAGATCACTAATTCACTCAATCAACCAACTTTATATGAAGAAGAAATGAGACTTCTTAAATGCATCAACATCCTCCATAGTGCTACACTACCTCCCTAGGTTGCATATTACTATAAAGACTGTCAATTCAAAGCATACTGAGCAGGCAATTGCATGGAACACGTACTTGGAGCCCTCAAATTTAAAAATTTGGACAGTGGACTAGGCTCCAAGCACACAAACAGCCAAACATTCACCCGCATACATAATCGAACACCCCCCCACACTTAAGCACGACATTGTCCTCAATGGAGGAAAGATAAGGAGGGTAGAACGAAGTTACCAGATCAAGGGTGAATGATGATGAACGGGTCAGGCGGTGCATTCCAGAAAGAGAGAGTAATCAGAACACAAACACCACACAAAATCTCACAAAGGTTGAGTTATTGACTCTAAAATCAAAGAACAAAACTGACTCCACCGAAGAGAAATAGAGAAAGAAATGCAAACCGACTGGTTGGGTTGCCTCCCAACAAGCGCTTCTTTCACGTCATGAGCCGGACGATGGCTCCTAAGTTTCGGTCCATGCTAGAACCTCCTTGAAGTTGAGGTTCTCGTCGATGAGGTGGAGTCTCAAGTCACGAGCATGTGGTGTGGCAGGTGATGAAGGCTCGTGCACTTGATGCAGATGAAGTCTCCACCCTCGAGACCTCTTCTTCTCTTCTCTCGTCTCATTGCCCCAAACCAGATATGACAGCATCGATTGGCCACCATCACGTCCACCAAGAGGGACCGATGTCGATGTGGCCTTGGTCTGGCAAAGAGACACTGCAAATGGGTCCTTGCCAAGCAGTTCCTCAAAGTTTGGTGGGGATATTACTTGCAACTCATGGCCGGTGCATGCCTCTTCCACCTCAACTTCATCCTCAGCCTGGACGCCAATTGCTTCCTCAACCTCCCTTTCTTCTTCATGTGGTATCACCCCTGAGAAAAGATCAAGAACTCCTTCTGCTTCACTTTTGTCATCCTCCACAACTTCTTTCTGCACCCTTTCTTGCTCTTCTTCTTCCAGCACGAATTGGAGAGCAAGTCTCCATGCAAGGTTCTCGATAAGTTCAGCTTGCATCTCCTCACTCGAGCCCAGCATGTCAGAGTGGAAATGGTGAAAGTTATGATCTACCACCAAAGGATACACTTGATCATGATTATCATGGGAGCTTTCTGTGACAACTTCTGTATGCTCCTCAACATCCTCATGATTGCCTTTTTCTTCCTCCTCCTCTACTTGTATGGCAGCATAAAGGTTGTCTTGAGAAAACTGTGAACAAGCTTTCTCAATGACCTCTAGGTGCTTCTTTATGCTCCGGATGGTATCCTCTGTTTCACGGGGGAAGGAAAAGTCAGTTTGGGCAATGGCCTGGATATGAGGCTCCATCTCGGGAAAAGATCTCTCAGGTACTCGAGCAATCTGCTCCACGAGAAGCCTCAATTCATAGTTTGGATCTGGCTGTGGAGTGTAGCATGGCTCTGCAGAATGGCCCGTGAAGGCCGCCATGGGTAACTCCAGATCCGATGGCCCTTCTTGTTGTGGGAGGAATTCTTCTTGATAAGGAGATTGTTCTTGATATGCCCAGGGGTCTGGTTGTTCTCCGTAGTAAGGGGGTTGGTACTGGAACCCGAATCCATAGTCTTCTCCTCCTTGATTGCTGTAGGGAGTCTCGGGGTAATACCACCAGGATGGTGGTGGATACCCCCAATGATTGGAGAAACCATGAGGATCCATGATTCAGATCTGCACCAACAAAAACAAAAACACCCAAGTGAAAAGCAAGGGTGGAAAAGAAAAGAAACGAAAAACGCTAAAGTAACAAACTTCTGCCTTTCCTAATACTCTAGAAATTCCCCGGCAACGGCGCCAAAAACTTGACACGCCAAAACACAACACCAAACAATGGCCAAGTGTAACCAATGAAAGGGACAGCAGTATAGTGGCACAAGTAATAAATATCGAATCCACGGGTCTCTAGAGTTACTATTACTCAGCTTCAGTTCATTATCTAGCAAACTAGATTAAGGATTGATTAACTAAACTACTCTACTAACTAAACTAAGTAAAACTACTAATTACAGTTTGGGAACTCACTTAGGTATGATTCCCCCTAGCTCCTCAATTAGGTCCAAGTTGTAATTCCTTTTGGTTGATTTACTGTTGATTAAACTGCGGAAGATCCGACAGTAGCTTGGAATCTCTTAAGCTGACCAAGCCCTCTCAGTCTAACTATCCGGCAGACGACTAGTCTTCACCGGGATAGAAAGCTGAAGCAATAAGCACAGAACTCCACTACTGGAATTGGATTCCAGTACAAAGCAGTGAATTGATTGACTCTCGCACAACCAATTCACCACTATCAATCAAGGAAGCTCTCTTAACCTAATCAGATTCTATCTATCATAGGTTAAAGCAGAAATCAAGAGAATTTGATCAAGATCCAATTGACTCAATAAATCATGCCTCAATCGATTATAATCAAACAATAAAGCATCCAAAACTTCATACAAGAAAGATCCTAACTCATGGAACTAGGGTTCCTCAAAACCTAAGTGAAGGGAAGTTACTCCATAGAGAAGAGAGAGACTGCAGAAATCTGATCTAGATCTTCAATCTCCATCTCCAAGCTTGATTCCCGAGCTCCAATGGCGAAGAAATCCTCCAAAATAGCTCCAAGAATGTTTCCAAGTCGCTCTCTCTCTCTAGGGTTCGTCCCTTGGGTGTTTGGGATCCAAAACCCAGCTCTCTCTCCTCTTTTGTTCGGAATTTGGCTTAAAACCAGGAAATCCCGACTCGCACGGCCAGGGTGCACGGCCGTGCATATCACCATTCTGGCCGTGCAACTCAAAACGCAGCGTGTCATTTAGTCGAAATTCAGCCCTCTCGCACGGCCAGGGTGCACGGCCGTGCATATCACCATTCTGGCCGTGCAACTCGCTCAGCCTCTGTTTAATGCTTCGTTTCTCCCTCGTCCGGACTCCGAATCAATCGCCGTTTGATCCCAGACGCTCGTAGTCTCGTCCTCTTTCGTTTCATAACAAGCTTGCATGCTTCTTTGTCCATAAAGTGAGGTAGAAATCCATTCTTCTTCAGGTCATGCCCTAGTTTCCTCTCTCGAATCGTCAATTGATCTCTGATTGACTTGAAACTTGCGCCTATGCTTCACTTTATGTGCTAGGACCTGAAATGGGACAAAGGAACACAACCTAGCATAAAATAGGCCACAGCACACGAATATGCCCCTCAAACGGATAAGAACTAGGGGCGCAAACATGTGCAATTACATCGTTATCAGCGTGCCTTAACATCTCAACATCGACTTTTAATGCAGGGCTTGTGTTCCTCATTTTGAACTCTGCAAGTATTTCTTGGTACCTTCTGTCTTCTACTAATTGATCATAATGATCAAAAAAGTATACTATATTGTGTTTTGGCTTCAGATACTTCTTTAACACACTATTCATTAATTCACTACGTTGTGTACTCTTCATATCAGCAGTAGACATATGACGCCCATAAACCATAGCCCACTTTTCTTTTACTGAGAATATTCCTTGCAACCATTCATTATTTTCCAAATCATACTTTTTAAGCATAGCATCCCAACCTTTATACCATTCATCTTCATCTTCATAGTCATATACACATGAACTAAAATCACTAGCAAATTGGTCGGATGCATGAAACACATGGCTTAAGTGTTTAGCAGCATTCTGATAAATATGCCAAACACATAAACGATGATGAGTTTCAGTAAATACCTCTTCAATTGCTTTGGCCATAGCAGCTGATTGATCTGTCAATATGGTTTTGGGTTGTTTTCCAGCCATTGCACCCAAAAATGCTTCAAACAACCACTTGAAGGAGGATATTGTTTCATCATACAGTAATGCTGCCCCAGAGATCACTGTCTGCTTCAGATGATTGACTCCCACAAATGGAGCAAACGGTCGACCATACTCATTAGTTCTATATGTATCAAAACATATAACATCGCCGAAGTACTTGTAATCAATGATTGACCTGCCATCATCCCAGAACATATTCAGAACAAGATCATCATCATCAAGCTACAATGAGTAAACAAACGATGGATCCTCTGATTGCGCTTTACGAAAATAATCCATAATTGCTTGACCATCTCCTTTAATCATTGTAGCTCGTCTTTGTGCAGCAATATAGTTTTTGTAGTCTGAATCCAAAAATCCATTATTTTCACGACCTCTATTCTGTATTGCTAGTAAATCGATAGTTGCCTTAATTGGCAACCCAGCTCTCTCAGCATCATTTGCAATAGCTTTTTGAGCATAACTTATCTTTCTGTTGGACCTCAGCATGCTTCATTGGAGTGGGAGCAAGGTCATGATTATGATTTGCTTCAAATGAAACAATCTCCAGCAAGCCATCCTTTTTCAATTGACAAGTCATTTGTGCTAAACAATCGATTCTTTTAACTGGTCGCTCAAAAGCCACATTCTCACGCCTTTTATCGAAACCCTTTTTGCCTTCTTTAGAACAACAAAATGTTCTTCTTTCCACGTGACCAGCTCGCGTTCGCTTGACGTAACGCTTCTTTACACTGAAACCAATATTGTGGGCATATGCTTTATAAAATTCATAAGCACTATCATCGCCATCGAACTTCATGCCTATACATGGCACTTCGCCTCTTTGAGTCATATTATTTGCACCTCATGTTCTGAGACTCGTATGAACCGTACCTAGAAGATAGAACATAACATCAAATTTATAAGGCTATAAGAGCTAACGGCAACACTAAATATTGATGTCAAATCTAACAAAAGAACGAAGACACATAGTTTAACGTGGTTTCCCTGATCAACAAGACTAGTCCACGGGAGAGCCGAAACCCTCCAAGTCAATGCTATTAGCTTCGTTAATTTGGTTACTCGGTTACACTTACATATATATAGAGATCTCATTAACCCTAACTAAGGCATATTTACAAAATGGTACTTATATTTTCAACACCCTCCCTCAAATTGATGTTGGGTACGCAACATCAATTTGCCTGCTAAGTACATGTGTCTGCTAGATCCCAATGCCTTAGTAAGGATGTCAGCTATTTGATCTTCCGTGGCTAGATGATGCAACTTGATTCGTCCTTCTGCCACCAGCTATCTAATGTAGTGAACATGAACCTCTATATGCTTCGTCCTATCATGCAAGACTGGATTCAGTGCTATCTAGAGTGCACTTATGTTGTCACCATATAGTACCATCGAACGCTCACACTGAACACCCAATTCCTCCACAAGTCTGTGTAACCAAATTAACTCAGAGCTAACTTCGGACATAGATCTATACTCCTCCTCTGTAGACGACTTGGAGACTCGATCTTGTTTCTTACACCTTCATGAGACAAACGACTGACCAATTCGTACACACCAGCCAGAAGTAGATCGTCGAGTATCTTGACACCCGACATAGTCTGCATCTGCAAAGGCCTCGATTTTTAGGTCACCTCCAGTGGGAAAGTAAAGACCGACATCCTGAGTGTGCTTAAGATATCTCAGGATCCGATACACCGCATCTAAGTGTTGACCTCGTGCTATACCCAAATACTAGCTCACAACCTGCACTGCATAGGCAATGTCAGGTCTGGTATGTGTGAGAAGAATTAGGCTGCCAACCAAGCTGCGATATAAAGACTGATCCTCTATGGTATCGCCAATGTCCCTTCGCAGCTTCAAATTTTGCTCCATGTTGCACATGACTTACAGTCTTCATACTTTGTTGTCTCCAACAGTTCGGAAATATATTTCTTCTGGGAAACAAAGATGCCATGGGTGACCTGCAAACTTCAAGACCCAAAAAATATGATACCTCACCTAGATCTTTCAGTGTAAAAGCATTGTGTAAAGAGGCTTTTAGCTCCTGGATCCCAGCCATATCACTTCCTGTGACGATCATATCGTCCACATAAATAAGCAGAACCACAACTCCATCTACTGTATTCCGAACAAAGAGAGATGGATCATTCTTGCTTTGTTCTAAACCCAACTGCACAATTGTACCGTGAAACTTCTCAAACCAAGCTCTTGGAGCTTGTTTGAGTCCATAAAGTGATCGAACCAGTTGACAAACCATATTAGACGATCCTTTTGTATATCCTGGTGGTCGTTCCATATAGATAACTTCTTTAAGATCACCATGGAGAAAGGCGTTATTCACATCAAACTGCAAAAGTTGCCATCCACGCATGGTTGCCACTGCGAATACACAACGAATTGTCTGCATTTTTACAACCGGTGAAAATGTCTCTTCATAATCAATGCCATGTTCCTGAAGGAATCCCTTGGCTACTAATCGAGCCCTGTATCTCTCAATTGTTCCATCAAGATACATCTTTATTGTATAGACCCATCGGTTCCCAATAACAGACATCTCTAGTCTCCGTAAAACCAATTTCCAAGTTCCATTTGCTTCCAGTGCATTTGTTTCCTCCTGCATAGCGAGGTCCCAATGTGGAATTCCCACTGCCTGTTCATACGTAGCGGGAATGAACACAGGATCCGTAGCGAAGCCTGTATAATCCAATCGTCGTACCGGGGGTTGGCCGAAGTTGGAGCGATTCGATCTTCGCAAGGCAGAAGGAGAAGGTGTTGCTTCACCGTGCCCTGTTGGCAAACTATGGGTGATGGTACCTGAATTGGTTGAACTCCCAGATCCATGTGAGGACGACCCCAAATGCGAACTGCTGGCCGAAGTCGAATGGGAGGAAGAATGCACGTGATCCAAAGGCGAGTTGCTGTCCGAACTTGAATAAGAGCTACTGCTGGATGTCGACAAAGAAGGGCTGCCCATGAATTGATTTTCATTCCCTCCCCGAGGCTCCAATGTCGTGACAGTAGGTGCATCAAAATTGGGCACGGGTGTCAAAAAATCCAACGAAGTAGGAGGAGTCTCCACTCGAGTAGGAGCTAGGGGGTAGTACATTACCTGCTCTAAGAACATAACATGATATGATGTACGCATTCTTTTGCCAATCGGTTCATAACAACGATAACCTTTGTGGTTATCACTATAACCAACAAACACACATCTGGTGGTATTAGGAGCAAGTTTATGGCGCTCTTTTCGTGGTAATAGATCAAAGCATGTGCACCCAAACACCCGCAAGAAAGAGTAATCCGACTGCTTTGAGAACAAGACCTGATATGGAGAAAGTTGACCCAAGACTGACGTGATTTGACGGTTTATCAAGTAAACAACCGTGTGTACAGCTTCTACCCAATATCCACTCAGCATATGAGAATGAAACAGCAAGGCACGGGTCAATTCCAGTACGTGTCTATGTTTTCTTTCAACCAGACCATTCTGCTGTGACACACCTGGACAAGAAAGTTGAGAAATAATGCCCTCAGACTTATAGAAATCAAGCACTCATGTTTAGTAAACTCACCACCTTCATCGAACCGGATAACCTTGATCGTTTTACCAAACTGTGTCTTAATCTGCTGCACAAATTCCTTTGCTAAACCAGGCAGCTCAGACTTAAGACGTAGAAAGAAAACCCAAGAATAGCGTGTCTTATGATCAATGAACAAATCAAAATACTTGTACCCCATACGAGAAGTGACAGGAGAAGGATCCCAAAGGTCTTTGTGCACAAGATCAAACGGCGCATCATATTCAGTATCACTAGCCGAAAAAGATTGTTGAGATGTCTTAGTCTCAATACAACTCACACAATCAGACCGAGAACCAAAAGAAGAATCAAACTTTCCAGGTATCAAATTGTGACGAAACATTGTTAATAACCTTGCAGAATTCGGATGGCCTAGCCGACAATGCCATAATTTCCAAACTGACGCATGTTTAGAAAAATCCAACCCAACAGAATTCACAGAATTGTTTGACCATGACAAACACAACTGACTCGTTAAATCTTTGCCCTTGCTAGTGCCGGTTCCAGCATCCGCAGCACAGTGAGCCCCTTGAGTGACGTGAGCTCTTCCAGGCGGCTGCTGCAACTCATCAAGAACAAAGATTCTTCCTTATTTACTTCCCTTCCCGATCACCATCACCATCCCCGTCCTCTTGTCCTGTACCTTGCAACCAGCAGAATTAAAGGTAACATCACAGCCATTTTCAGTTAGTTTCCCGACCGAGACAAGATTAGGGAGTAAGCTAGGAACATATAATGTATCAGGAAGAGTAATAGTGGGCGTGGAGGAAGTTCCACGACCAAGAACAGGAACTTGTGCACCGTTTGCAACACGAAGATTCAACTGAGAAACAGGTTGTAACTTATCGAAAGTAGACCGTGCATGAGTCATATGATTAAACGCGCCTGAATCGAGCAACCAAAGTGGCGACTTACCCGTAACTGCCCCAGTAGCGAAGGCAGATGTGAGAGCTTGAGGTAGGGCTTCCTGCAAAGCCTCCAGAACAAGTTTTCGAACCATGTCAGGAGTGAAAGTAACCGAGCTGGAGCTGTTGGAGGAAGTAGACGACGACCTAGAGTTGTTGAGAGTGACTGCATAAGCTGATCCCTGGCGTCGACCAGAGGAGGACCCAGCAGACAGCGCGAAACCAGCAGCTGAACCATTAGTGTAGCGGTTCTTTCCACGCTTGTTTAATGTAGGGAAGTCCACCACAATATGCCCTGTCTTCTTGCAGTAATTACAATAATTGCGCTTCTTGCGATGGATCTGAACATGACTCTTGACAAAAGTGACAAATTACCTCTCCAGTTGTTGGATTCCCAAACTGGGGCCGAGAAAAGCTTCCCGAGCGTCCTACAGCAAAAGCGGACTCCTGAGATTGACCATCAATCTGTGATTGACTCTTCAGCCGTGTTTCTTCTCATAGCAACTCTGCAATCACAGTGTCAAGATCAGTGGTACCGCGATGAATCAATGATGCACGGATGGACTCAAACTCAGGCCTGAGTTTCATAATAAATTGCATAACGCGTGTCCTTGTGCACTCCTTCTGAACTTCAACTGAGGCATCCCCAGTTAGCAAAGACGCAGTAACGAGATCGTACTCCGTCCACAGATGCAAACGATGCTTATAGTAGCTCCTGACGTTCCGATCTCCTTGAGAAAGGGAACCAATCGTCAATTCCAGCTCATAGAGACGGGAAGGATCCGCTTGTGAGTACGTGGTACAGATGTGTTTCCACATCTCATGAGCAGTAGTAAACCGTCGAAGACTCAATGCTGTCGGAATATCCACAGACCCTAGTAGCCAGGTGATGATCTGGGCATTGGAAGCTGCCCATTCTCGCTGCTGCTGCTCGGTTGCAGTGTCACCGGGCTTCTTCATCTCGCCAAGCAAAACCGGCAGCAAGCTCTTACCAGCTACAAACTACGGAACTGAAATTCCCACAATGGGAAATTCGTTCCATCAAACTTAATTGAGACCGAGTCCATCTTACCGGATTCCATGCTCGCAATAACAAGCCAGGTGAGTAGAGATCAAGCGCGCGAGAAGAACTAAGCGCCAAAGAGGTAGTTGCTGTGCGTCGACCAATCAAGCTGTTTAAATAGCTTCTGTGCGTAGACCAACACTTAATAAACCTACAACAGCCCTTGCAAACGCCAAAACCAAAACCAGCCGCACACCAAAACAAAACCAGCCGCCAGAAACTCAAACAAATCCCGCGCCAAATCTACCCAACGTCATAAGGTCGATGATCAAACCTACTCTAATACCATGTCAAATCTAACGAAAGAACGAAGACGCAGAGTTTAACGTGGTTTCCCTGATCAACAGGACTAGTCCACGGTAGAGCCGAAACCCTCCAAGTCAATGCTATTAGCTTCGTTAATTGGGTTACACGGTTACACTTACATATATATAGAGATCTCATTAACCCTAACTAAGGCATATTTACAAAATGGTACTTATATTTTCAACAATTGAATGATCACCATTATCAAAGTAACCCATGAATACATGAAAAATAGTACTCAATTAACATAATTCCACTGCATTCATATCAAAATTGAAAGCATACAGTGGATTTATAAGAACAAATAGCTTAAATAATTCCTCAACAACAGTAACTTTACGAAGATCAACTAGATAAAAGCTAGCGCAAACATAATTAGAAGGAAAGGAAGAACCTGTTGTCGATGACATTGTTCAAAATAAACCCAACAGTGAGAGGATGATTCTTTTCGTTGAGAGGGAGTTGCTGCGGCTTGGAGTAAATCGGAGGGGAAAGAAATATAATAAAGCTTTTAAGTGGAAAAACCTAACGGAAGAAATTAAACCTAAAAGGCTAAAATTCGAGTTCAAACGAAAAATATATGAGCCGATTAAGAAAGCTAGGGAAAATAAAAATGATCGTTAATTCTCCATCTTTAGATCTAGATTTCCTAAATGAAGGGTCCAGATTTGGTTATTAATGGGTGTTGGGTTATGCACACTATCTTGAGCCCATGATTTAGTATGATTTTGTTATGTTTGGTGGTTGAATTTGTAATTTTTGTATAATTGGTTTGTAAATATGTTTTTGTTATGTTTGTTATTCCAGTTTGTAATGTTTTTGTTTCGATTTGTAATGTTAATCAATTCATTTTGTAATGTTAATCTATTTAGTTTCTAATGTTCGTATGACTAATTGCATATGTTGTAAATCGTAATATTTGTTTGTCTGGTTTGTAATGTTCATCTGTATGATCCGTAATGATTATCGTGTTTGTTTATATTTTGATACTTATCAATCTAGTTTATAATGTGTATATGGTTTATTTGTAAACGTTATAATCCCTGTCCTTGACCTGACCTGCTCCATTTTAGATATGTTTTTGCATAAATTACATACATTTTTGCTCTAATTACTTAGAATTTTACTTTTAGCACCTCAATTTCTCGAATAAGTTAACTACAGTTATCATATTATAGTTTTTCTTGATTTTTATAATAAAAATGAGTATTTCTAATGTTTATCCTTTATAAATTACATGCGCCTATTCACCGACCCACTCTGACCCGCGTCTCATGATAAATTATTGAACTTAAACTTAGGGGTGGGATTCGGTAACTCGGTAATCGGTTTACCGTTTTACCAAACCGGTAACCGGCGGTAAACGGTAAACCGATTACCGACGGTAACGGTAATCGAGGGCCAGTTGGGAGATCCAATTTACCGCCCCCAGTCTCGGTAAATACCGACGGTAAGTCGGTATTACCGAAACCGGAACCCGGCGTTTTACCGCCCTCGCCAAGCCTCCAGACCCACCTGCTTCTCGCTTCGCAGTTCGCCCGCCGCCTCTCCTTCTCCAAATCTTCTCGTCGCGACTCGCGACTCCGCTTCTTTGACCACGCCGTGTCGCCGGCGTTGCAGCACCCTCCCCCCCCAGTCCGCCTCGACTCGCGTCCTCCTCGCCTCCCAGACCCCAGTCGCCGGCGTTGCAGCACTCCCTCCGCCCAACTCCTCTGCCATTCCTCTGCCACCGCTAGGACCGCCACCACCAGGACAGTGACAGAAGCCTTCCTCCGCGGCTCTGCTAGTCTTCAGTCTCAGCCTGATTCTTCCGACTGGAGAGACTCGGTGTACCATTGTTTTGTACAGCAACCAAGAGTGTTCTGGTAGAGTAAACATATTACCTTTGTAATAGCTAGGAAAATCATTCTTTTGACATTTGTACGAGTGATATATATGAGGTGAATGCCATTAGGTCCAAACTTAAACAAAACATCCATTTGTATTTCTCAGTTCTTTCTCCTGCCAATTTCACCTCCGCCGGGCTGGTATTTCGGTAATACCGGTTTGTAACCGTTTACCGGTAATTCGGTAATCGGTAAACCGGTTACAAACCGGTATCGATAATCGGTAAATAGTTTAGCCAACGTCGGTATACCGAAACCGGTAAATTTGGTAAACAATTTACCGTTTACCGACCGAATCCCACCCCTACTTAAACTCAATCTACCACCGAAAGATAAAGGCTATTGAGATACCCGCCCCGACCTGAACCATTATCATTCCTAGATCAAATATACCAACAAAATCAATCGAATGTATGAATGCTCATATATATTAATGTGGCTGTAATCATCACAGTGAGATTGTGACGAAATCGCCATGATCGCAATTCGATTACGCACAATAAGACACTAATAAAATTGTGGCTGTGAATTACATAATATCAAAGTCCGCACACTAACAAATTCGTTGTTCCAAACTAACTCATACTTTTCAAAGTGCATTTTCGTTTTGGAAATTATACTCAGCGTCAAATTGGCTAAATTACACGTTTGGTCACTCAAATTATACAAATCTTTCACGTTTGCCACCCGAATTACTTTTCTTTCTTATTCGCCACTAACTTTACGAATCGTTTCACGGTTGGTCACCGGCCGTTACACTCCGTTAAGTTTGTCCTACGTGGCAGTCAACTATAAAGTTTGACCGTTAACTAGTTGATGTGGAAATTAAAAAAAAAATTAAAAAAAATAAAATTTTCTTTCCACCTCATCATTGCACTTATTTTGTCTATATAATTTATCATATTAATAATTTAATAAAATTTAATAAATTACAAAAATAATGAAGGAAACAATCTGCTCAGTAATTATCGAACACGTTATCTGCAATTTCTCATCGGGGGTAAGTGTACTTCACAATTCTCAAACTTAACAGAGACCCAATTACACCAATCTGAAACCCATTTTACCTCCATACACAAGCTGTGAGTTGTTCACTGTTCTTTCTACTTTTTCTTGCCCTTTCCGGATTTCTTCCTGCTGGGCAAAACAATCTCGCCCTTGAGCACAGGGATCTGCATAAGCTGCGTCAGCTCACCGAACTTCTTCCGGAACTTCTCGACCTAGTCCGCGTCCACAAGCACGCCGGAGCGGTTCCCCAGGTAGAACGGGTGGTTGCCGGACCAAACGTCAATGTTGTACTCCTCTTGTGTCCCGCCGGCGGTCATCACCAGCTCCCCGTTACAGTACACTTTGGAGTCCGTGTGGAACTCCGGGTGTATCTCCTTCTTCCGGCACGTTACCTGCAGACCTCCGCATCCGCCGCCATTCCTTCCGGCCACAGCCTTCGCCTGTAAATTTCGGGAAGCATTGAATGAAAATTCCTCCAAAATGGAACGCCGCAGAGAAGAAGTAAGTAAGTCGGAGTGCGAATTCGGGCGGTACCTTAGACGCGGAGAGCAGCGGAGGAGAGATGGGTTTGATTTGGAGGAAAGCGTTGGTCAGTACTTGCGCCATCTGTGTTTGGAGAAGAGGAGAGGCGAAAGCTCGAAGCAGTGAGCACTGAGCAGCTTGTGGGTGGAGGAGGGGACGATGATGTGGCTACTGGCTAGTGAAGAAGATGAGCCTTTGGATTTGCCCATTTTTGTAATTTATTAAATTATTAATATGATAAATTATATAGACAAAATAAGTGTAATGATGAGGTGGAAAGAAAATTTAATTTTTTTTTATTTTTTTAATTTCCACGTCATCTACTTAACGGTCAAACTTTATAGTTGACTGCCACGTAGGACAAACTTAACGGAGTGTAACGGCCGGTGACCAACCGTGAAACGATTCGTAAAGTTAGTGGCGAATAAGAAAGAAAAGTAATTCGGGTGGCAAACGTGAAATATTTGTATAATTTGAGTGACCAAACGTGTAATTTAGCCGCGTCAAATTATTATGTAGTCAACCTGACCAAATGTAGTGTCTAGGTCAACTAACAAAAACAAAAACTAGAAAGGACATATATTTAGCGGGTTCAGAGAATAGTATATGCCAGAGCGTCAATATTTCAAGTATGATTCCGATGCAGACTTGGACTTTTCTCTTTTGAGTATATAAAGTTTCAAATTCGGCCTAACTTGCTCGGTGCAACTTGATAAGGATATAAAATAAATATTTCATTTATTTAATTTTCCCTATTAGTTTTTAAGTAACTCCCAATGTATAGCTTCACTACTGGTCACTACTCCTTAGTTTTACCTAGTAGGAGGGGTATTCAAATGGCTACCATGATAATTACCAAATCAAACAAGTCAAAAATTAATCAACCATGTAATACAATATCATAACCAAACCGTTCAAACTAATACAAAAACCAAATTAACCAAACTAAATTTTAATCGGTTTGGTTAATTGGTTAATCAGATTAGCTATTATAACATCGAATTATCATTAAGTGAGAAAATTTCCGGTTAATGCAGCAATTCATAATTTGTATGATGAATAAATAGTTATAGTTAACTCTTACAGAAATACATGCAACTAATACAATTATCTTACGCTCAATAGAAGTGATTCGGGCTCAAATGTACACATATTACCCCACATTTTTATTTCGTTTAGCTTAGTATTTCATCGTTCCTCGACATATTTCACGCTAGGTTGTGCTTGTTTTGATACATTTAAGGTCCTAGCACGTGTGGATGGGTTGAGGTCAAATTTTGGGATAATTGGAGGTCAAAAAGTGTAAAAATCGAAGAAAAGTCCGAAGACAGTAAAGTGCAGGCATCCAGGAAACAACCGCAGTTCACGGCCTGACGAGGCAGTTCATGGCCGGACGAGACAGTTCACGGTCTCCTAAGACTGTGAACTTCGACCACAAACCGTGAACACAGAGGCGTCCGGCAAGGTTCCTGAAGTTATTGACGACAAGGCAGTTCACGGTCTCTAAGACCGTGAACTGTGGTCATTACTGTGAACCCATGAAGCAAAGCGGTGTGTTTTGGAGACGATTGAGTTCACAGACAACTTTAGGTGTTCACGATCGTGAATTGGCCAACGTGTCCGTGAACTGGTCACTTCCAGGCAAATATGAAGACAACAACGGGGATAGAGAAAGGGGAGCTGCTTTTTGGAGAGAAATTCAATCCCCTCTCTAGGGTTTGCCCAAAAACACCAAAGGGGAGTTCTAGTGAGAGAGAGAGTGTGCTAGAGTGATCTTGGAGCATCATTGGAGGTTTGGGTGGAGGATTCAAGCCTAGAAGAAGAAGAAGTTTTTGAGCTCAAATTTGTAACCCCTCTCTTCTCTCTCTAGAAGTCACTCTTTTCTCTTGGTTGTTGTAGATCCCTAACTAATACTTTGTAATTACTTGTTTAGATTGAATGATTTTGTATGGGTTTGCATCAATTTGAGTATTAGAAGTGTTTTCATGGTGATTGTGCTTAGTTGTGCTTTCCCAATCTTGTGTGCTTGCCTAACCTAGATTAGAGGAAAACTACACCTTTTTAGGCAGGCTTGACAAGCTTTGTTTTCCTGGGCACTTTGTGCCTACTATCTAGGTTAGAGGTGAGCATCCCCTTTACTCAAGTTTAAATCTATGTTGGTTTTGATTAAGCCGCTCAAACTCCGGTTCGAGGGAGAGACCTAGGCAACCCCTAGAGACTGAGTGAGAGGATCGATTTCGTGATAAATCGAACTCTAGTGAATCCATCCCGTGACAAATGGATCACTAGTTGCTCCTCCTAGCGGTTCCCCTAGACTTGGTGAGTGGATCGATCGCTAGTGAATTGATTTTGTGACAAATCGATCACTAGTTGCTCACCCCCGCGGTTCACAACCATGTATGCCACACGACTCCATTCAATCCAACGATCCATGGTAGCTAGTTACGGGGAAGCAAATCAAGGGTGAAGCTCCCTTAGTTAGAGTTTTCCTTTATTTACTTTTCCTTGCTTATTTAGTTTGTAGTTCTATTAGTTATAAACCCAAAAGTTTCTTGCTAGATAACAACCTAAGCGATTAATTAGGGGTACATGAATCGGCCCGGGTTGAAAATTTAAATACTTGCTCTATACTGCACCCGCCTAGAGTTTAGAAACTTGGGCTCTAGTCGAGATTAATTTGTGGTGTAGTTTCGTGCGAGTCAAGTTTTTGGCGCCGTTGTCGGGGAACCACGGTCCATTATTTTGAAAAGGTCGCTTAGTGTTACTCTAGCATTTTCTTTCTTGCCTTTTTGTTTGTGTTTGTTGTTTCGTATGGTGTTTTGTTTACCCACTCTTCGCCTTGAAGGTGGTTTGTGTTTGTTTGATTTTGTTTTTGTGTTTTTGTTTGTGTAGGTTATGAATCATGGATCCCAATGGCTCTACAATAAGTGGGGATATCCACAACCACCCGAATGTGGGTACCCCGGAGCTTCATGGAGTGAATAAGAAGGGGAAGCCAAGGATCTGGGTTCTATTACCAACCCCCCTTCCAAGAAGAACAACCATACCATTGGGGGTATGAAGAGGCTTCCCCATATCAAGAATATTTCCCTCAACAACCCGAGGAGAAATCCAATTTGGAGTTGGCAATTGAAGCTTTCATGAGACAATCTTTCAACGGGTCGAGTTGTAATTTGCCAAGTCTATTCGGAAGCCTTAGGGCTCCACTAACAAGCTCTGGCTCGATACAATGTAGTCTACTTTTCCGCATCAATGATTCATAAGTCCGCCCAAGATTTGCCACCTTCGGCATAAGTCACTGTCATTGATCCATGAACAAATAAAAATCCTAATTGCTGGATGAAATGTACCGTAGATAACGAAACATAGAAAAAACGAAGAGAGAAAGAAGAACCCAAGAACAAGGAGATACCCAAGATTCTAAATAGAGAAAAGAGAATGTCAAAGAAACGCTGGTGACGAGATTGATCACCGATGACAAGGA